CTGAAGCCCGACTGAAATGGGTCTAGAGCATTGGTTTCATCTAAGAGCGCCTGAAGCTGGTCTGCCACCACCCTCTCAACCACTTTGCTGAGGAAGGACACACTGGCGATGGGCCTATAATTGCCAATTTCATCCGCCGCCAGATTTGGTTTCTTCCTGATGGGCCTAATGAGTACACCACTTCTACCTATCCCTAATATATAGAAATCATTGTTATTTTGAACTGAAATGCAGTCATAGTTTCCCATGCAGCAGCATCATACTTGTTTACATGTATTGATCATACTGTTTTTTTTTCTCTTCTATGAATGAGAGCGACTTTTTAAAAAGAAAATTCATAGGCAGAACAGTCAGCAAGCATCTCTCCATGGTGTAAACTGCTCAGGTCAATGTGGGGGCCAGGTAGTAAAGTATTTGGCCAGAATCTTGCTGGGGATTCATGCCAGCATAAAAGTAAATATATAATATTTATATAAATATATAAACTGCAGCAGCACATGGCTGCTAAATTAACAAGTTTCTAGCCACATTCTCCATCTTGCTGACTGATATGTGACATAAAAACGTAAGAAGATCCCTGCTGGATCAAGCGAAGGGTCCATCTAGTCCAGCTTCCTGTGTCTCACAGTGGCCCCACCAGATGCCTCTGGGAGCACCCGGGACAACTAGATCCCTGTCTCCTGATAACCCTTCCCCTGCATCTGGCATTTTGGAGTACCTTCCTTTTAAGCCTGGAGATTATACATCCCCATCATGGCTTGTAACCTGCAATGGACTTTTCCTCCAGGACTTTTTTCAATCCCGTTTTAAAGGCTTCTAGGCCAGATGCCATCACCACATCCTGTGGCAAGGAGTGACTAATGGTTAATCCATAGCAATTCACCACTAGAATTTATGCCACTGCACTTTCAGTGGAATAAATGCCCTGAAAGATTCTGGCCATTGTGATTTAGTGGGGAAGTGCAGATTGCAAAGTCCTAGAATCTTTCAGAGTTTTAAAGAGCCATTGCCTTGAAGATTCCTTTCACTATAAAAAGGAGTCATCCAGGATGTCTTTTCTGTTGATGTCTGCTCCCCAGGGCCAATACCACAACCCTGATTATGCATCCTTCCATAGCCCTTTTTTCTTTTCCCCTGTAAAAGCAAAAAAGCAAAGCGTGCTGCTTATATACCGTCCCATAGCATTTCAAGCACTCTCTGGGCGGTTTACAAGTTAATTATGCAGGCTACACATTGCCCCCCCCAGCGAGCTGGGTACTCATTTTACCGACCTTGGAAGGATAGAAGGCTGAGTCAAACTTGAGCCGGCTACCTGGGATTGAATCCCAGGTCGTAAGCACAGTTTTGGCTGCAGTACAGCTGTTTAACCACTGCGCCACGAGGCACGAAAAGCAATAATTGGTGTTGGGCAAGGTGGAAAAAGACCAATGATTTTTTAAAAAATCAAATTGATTCAAACCACTATTGAAATCATGATATAATTTTTTTTAAAAAAAATTAAATTGTCAAAAATATAATTTTTAACATTTAGATCATGATTTAAATTAATTTAAATCAAATGCACAGTGGTCTTGGGCATACCAACCTTATACTGTAGATGGTCAGAATATTTTTGTCCATCTATCCCAGTACTGTGACTAGCAGTGGTTCTCTGGGATTGTAGGCAGAGGAAGGTCTTTCCTTTCACCTAGTATTCAAGAAAGCCTTTTTAAGGAAACATGCTGGAGGTCAAACGTGGGATCCTCTTCATACTATGCACCATACTATAGCTCTCTTATTTCGCTCCAGGCCTGATTCATATCTGAAGCCACTGCATAAAAAGGGCTCTATTTTTTGTTTTTTTGCAATCCATCCCTTCTCTTTTAAAAAGATGCAGCTATTTAAGTCAGTGAAAAGAGAGGAAAAGAGCATTTTTAACATTGTGAATGTAGAAAAAGAGCAAGACAGACAAGCTGAAAATGGACCTGTGGAATGCAGTTCTTGATTTATATAATTATGCTATATCATCCTATTACATGCCTGTGATCCCATGGCATGGTTCGCCTCAGCCTTACCCAAAACTAGTATATTCTGGCTGCAGAATGCTGAAAGCTAAACTTAAATCACAATAACAAATTGTACTAGTTAAGGAAGGACCACTTGTATTCCTTGTTGTTTGACAAGTCACACAACATGTGATAAGGAATAGAAACAGTGACTCCCCAGCTAATGATAATTAGCTGCTCTGATTTGTGTTGATTCACTTATGCTGCTGTACCTAAGTGTCAAGCGGTCCGTGTAGTGTGTTTGGCGGTTAAGCCATATAGGCAGGAATCGGAGGAGTCATGACTTCTGAAGCAAGACTATTTTTATTAACGTGTAACAACGGGGTGTCAATAACTTCTGTGGGTTCCAACAACTCCCACTCATTAAACCTTTTTTCTATTAGTCCATCTTTGTTGACAGTATAATCTTGTTTTAGAATGGGGGAGCCGGCCCAAAGCGCTCCTTGTCGGTGGGCTTCCGAAGGGGGGGGCACTCAATACCACACAAAGAGTTCCACAACAGGGGTGGCGAGCCCAATCCCCCTCGGGTGGTGGCTTGTCGAAAGTCGCGTCAGGGCGCATCACCTTCCTCCAGTGAACTCGGCCCCTCAGGAAAACTATGGTCCATTCTGAAGTCTCTTGCACCACCACACCTCCAGGCTTCAGAATCGGGTCTGGCAGCAGTCCTTCCACTTTTAAGTTCTGGAAATTATCTATCAGACTCTTTACATCTTTCACCTTAGCCTCCTCTTTCTCTCTCCTCCTCACGCCCATTACAACACCTCCTCTTTCTCTCTCCTCCTCACGCCCGCCCGTTACAACTTGAAAGTCCCGTGCTATTCCCCCTGTATTTAAGTCCTCCTCCCACACTTCAACCCATTGCTCCGCCTCCTTCCCCTTCCCTTCCTCTGACAGCCAGACCTCCGTTTTAACTCCTTCCTGTCTTTCCTGTGCCTCTAACTTTTCTTTCTTTGCTTTTTCCTCTTTGGTGTCCTTTTCAGTGGGAGGAGACGGCGCACTCGGAATCTCTTGTCCTTCACACTAAGCAATACAATTCTGCTGATTATTACTATAGGACATTATACTTTGGGAGAGCTTGCCAATAGCATTTTTAAAAATTACTCATTCCACATGGATTACTTTAAAAATAGCTAATGCATAGATAAGATGTTACATTATGTGCTACTGATGAGTAGAAAAGCAGTAAGTAACGTATTGTACCAAGATTTGGGGGGCAGGGGAGAGCAAAGCATTGGCTTCTGTAACACCAGTATTGTTCTGGCTATAGGTGAAGGAATAAATAGGAAGAAATGAAAGACTTGGCAAATTACTTGGAAATTGCTAGATTTCCTACTGATGGACTGATGAAGAGTGTGGGGAAAGATGCTTTTCAGTTATATTCCATGCATGTAATCATTCAAAGATGTTTGGACAACCATACTTGTTCTTGGTCAAGAACATGCCAACCAATCAAGATTATTTGCTAATAATAGTTCTTTGAGTTGTATGTTTCCTGTGAGTCAATGAAATCTGAAGGCTGACTCATATATTCCAGACCTAAAACACAAGCTGTTATGGAAAAGTTGGGAAATAATTCACTATTGCTCTGCTATTTATCACTTCAAATGAAGTTAACTAAGCCTTCTCTGAACCACCTGGAGTCTCTTTTTGTTCTTGGCCCTCTGTATGTGCATCATTTTAAAGAAGAGACTCCTGTGAATGCTCTTAAATTGGGTAGCCCTGAGCTCCTCCTAGACAGCATCTTAAAAAGCAGAGACATCACCTTGCCGACAAAGGTCCGCATAGTCAAAGCTATGGTTTTTCCAGTAGCGCTGTATGGAAGTGAGAACTGGACCATAAAGAAGGCTGACCACTGAAGAATTTATGCTTTTGAATTGTGGTGATGGAAGAGACTCTTGAGAGTCCCCTTGACTGCAGAGAGAACAAACCTATGCATTTTGAAAGAAATCAAACCTGAGTGCTCACTGGAAGGACAGATCCTGAAGCTGAGGGTCCCGTACTTTGGCCATCTCATGAGAAGAGAAGACTCCCTGGAAAAGACCCTGATGTTGGGAAAGTGTGAAGGCAAGAGGAGAAGGGGACGACAGAGGATGAGATGGTTGGACAGTGTCATGGAAGCTACCAACATGAATTTGACCAAGCTCTGGGAGGCAGTGGAAGACAGGAGGGCCTGGAGTGCTCTGGTCCATGGGGTCACGAAGAGTAGGACATGACTTAACAACTAAACAACAAACAACAAAGCTCCTACTGTGAGTTATGTCACTCTGTGTTGGGTCTTTCCTCCTCTATCTGCTATTCCAGTTTCTTTTTCTGCAGCAGGACAAAAGCATCCAGTTCTGGAAAGGAAAATAAAGGCGACTGAGAGACTAAAGTCTCTTTAGACTGAAGTCTAAAGTGTCTCTTGGGTGGCCAGATCTGTCCTAGGAGCTCCTGCTTGCTAACTTGTATAATGGAGTGATGACTCAGATGCCTAATATAGATATTCCATCTGCTGAAGGGAAAAGGGATCTTATTGTTTCTTCATATGGAAGAGATAGACATCTTACCAGTTGGCGGTAGTGATAGGGTCAGTCCAGCCATTTAGCTAGGTTAACTGGCCTACTTCAGGTGGCAGCATGGCTCTAGTCTGATGTCAGAACCAGTCGCCCTCCAGACACTGCAGGACTACAACTTCCATCAGCCCTGACCATTGGCAATGCTGGCTAGAGCTACTGAAAGTTCTCATCCACCAATATCTGGGGTTCCACCGGTTTGCCACCTTTGCTCATCGTGTATTTATTTTGCTTCTTACTTGTTATATTCTGACTTTCCTAGGTTAAGCTGAAGGCAGTGTATATGACTATCCTCTTCCTTGCTGCCTTCTCACAACAACCAAGATAGGAAAGAATAAAAGAAAGCCTGCATTGTTAATTTTGTTTATAATCATGTCTTGATGCTGTTTTTCCCCCATTCTAGATGCTGCAGGAACAACAAAAGATGTGTAAGTATATGCACATTTGCATTATCTCTTTATATATATGTATAGTAAAAAAATTACTGGGGCAGGTAATGAGTTCATGGTGGCTTCTAGGCTAGTCAGATATTGAGGTCACAGTTATTCAAGATGCAGGAGCCTAATCTCCTTTCTCACTTGGTCACCCAGGTAGATCTGCTCTTCTCCCTGCTCCATTCCTTTGACCTCTCACCTTGCTTTGCACTGCCAGACAGGGCTCCAGATGTGCCATGGAACGGATGAGTAGATGAAGGAACAAGGTGAATGCAAGGAGACACAGCTGTACAGATTCAGCATGTGTTTCCTAGTTGAAAGATGGCTACCCTGCTTCTAGTACCCAGGGCTCTTTCTTACCTTTGTCTTCTCTTAGTCTTCTTCTAGTTGTCCCTTTTACACCTTTGTCATTTTTAATCCCTCTTAATTTTAGCAGCTTTACTTCTTGATTTATTTCTTGGTTTGGTTTAGCTTCTCCTTGCTGTATTCCACAACTTTAGTTTTGCATTGGTTGAAATGCTGTTGTGCAGCTCAGGAATGATTTAGAGCAAATGATTGCCTCTTCTACAGTGCAATGTATGAGTACTTATCTTCATGTTCTATGGCTTATCTACTGGATTCTTAACCATCTTAGATATTCAGTCTTTATTTGGGGCTGTTATTGTAATACCAGCTATCAGTTAGTGGAGGCTAGATGGGAGAAACCTAAACAACTCAGCCCTTAACGGCTTCTGACTCGAAGCATCTTGTAAATGTAATATTTTGGACAGAAGCAAAAAAAAACCACACTTTTGTGGACGGTGCCAACTAGCAACCTCATAAACAAATGAGACCTTGAAGCCTACCAGTCACAACAGAATCTGGAGTGACAGAGAGAACACAAATGACACTAATCTGTTAATTTCTCTCCTTTTCCTTGCATTCCTTTTATGTTTGAAATTCACATGACTTCTAGAAGTACAGTATCTTAAGGTTCAAACAGGGTAGTAGAAGAAGAACTACAATATATTCGCGAAGGCTGTCATGGCCAGGATCTAATGGTTGTTCTGGGTTTTTCGGGCTCTTTGGCCGTGTTCTGAAGGTTGTTCTTCCTAACGTTTCGCCAGTCTCTGTGGCCGACATCTTCAAAGGACAGCAACCTGCCCAAAAAACCCAGAACAACCAAAAACTACAATGTTTTATATTCTGAAAATAACAAAGACTCTTGTGGCACCTTAAGACTAGCAGATTTATTTTAATCATGAGTTTTCATGGATTACAATCTGCTTCTCCAGATGCACGGAATATAAATTTAGAACTTCAGCTATATACTGTATGCACAACTGATGTGACTATTTGTGAATGGGTGATATGACTGAATAAAAATGACAATTGTATTATTGATAGTGGCTAAAAACAACATAGACATCTTTATAATAAGACAGTTAGCACATGATAAATATCTGTTATCCAACATCTGCAGAGCATTGGAAATAGTAAAGCTGTGAGCTCTCCTTTCAAGAAACATGTTTGTTCTACCTTTTTGTGCTGAAACTAGGATGGCCTGTTGAATCTTGTAGGCTTACGAACATTTAACTGTGCACAAAAGCATGGTGGGAAATGGTGTATTAGTACCTGCCCTGTGCTGCAAGAAACTATTGGCCTGAGTTTAACTGTGTGATTAAACCTATTCTTTCTGCCAGAATCAGTGAATTTGAGGATGGCCTGTTGAATCTTGTAGGCTTACAAACATTTAACTGTGCACAAAAGCATGGCGGGAAATGGTGTATTAGTACATGCCCTGTGCTGCAAGAAACCATTGGCCTGAGTTTAACTGTGTGTTTAAACTAGAACCTATTATTTCTGCCAGAATCAGCGAACTTTCTACTTGTAGCATCCGAAATACCCTAAAGCCCTTGTTCAGAAGCCTGAGAAACTTATGGCAGGAGGGTTTTTAAAAAACAAAACAAACGGAAGACTGCAGAACAAACAAGAGAGAGACTCCACATTCCAGTGGTATTGGTTACTACAGTATACTGTTGTAAAAATGGTCCAATATGCAAGTGGCACCAAAATGGATGAAACTCCATGAGTGTGACATTGCCTTGGTAGCTATTTGCTTTTCATGTGCATTTCATCTGGATCTTCCTATACAGTTGGTTCTCAGATTGGGAGCTGGGCCTAGTATGGAGTAGCTTCTGAGATGTACTCAATTTACAACCCATTTACTGAGCTTTGGCAGTGCAGTCACCTTGTCTCCTTGAGGGCAGAGAAGAATCATAATAACAGATGTTAAAGCTACTGGTCTATAATCATTGTTAAAGCTACTGGTCTACAATCATTTCCACATTGTCCTCATGTGGAAAAAAAAAACCATTGGAATGCATTTAAAACTGGTTAATGCATTCCAATGGGGAAATACCTCATGGTCCACCGAAGATTGCCCATAGAGAACTGCTGATCAGCTGTTTATAATCGCTGTTTTGTGAAGCTGTCTGGAAAACAGCCATTTTGCAAAGGGAGGGAAGCCATTTTGCGGAGCCAGAAAAATCATCGTTTTGCGACCAAACGGTTCACGAAATAGGGACCTAATCGACGTAAAGCGAAAAAAAACCTAGGAACCATCGTTTTGCAATCACTATAGTAATCGCAAAAATTGTCCTCAAGTGATTTCGTTTTGCAATCGCTATAGTGATCACAAAAAATTGTCGTCAAGTGATTTCATCGTCATGCGGGGTTGTCGTCATGTATGTGGAAGATGGAAGTGAAATTGAGTAAATGGACCTGTAACAAAATGTTGCAATAGAGTATTCCTGTATAGACTTCAGATAGCAATGCCCTTTCATAGAACACTTCATTTCATCTCCCAGGTTTTTATCACTCAGCGTTCTTGTATTCACTTAACATGCTCAGTTCTCACTTTTGGTCTCTCCACGCAAGATTTAAGTTTAGTTTTTCTACAGTTTTCTGTACTGCAAAATGTATGATCTACAACAAGCCTGCTGACACCCTCTTTTTTGTGTGGCGATGGTACTGTTATGGATGTTTAGATAATTGAGTTTGCTATTAAACTAGTAGATGGAATTCTGAGCCCCCATTATCATTGTCAGATATTATCGATATATTCCAAAAAGAAAGAATAAGATTTCATCAATTCTGAAAGGTCACACAAAAGGCACTCTTTTCATTCTTCCAAGTTTTTAGAACTTTTTAAATAAAACAACTGAATTATATCCAGACTTGGTTGTGCAAAGTACATGGAAGTTCCATTAACTTCCATGCAATATGTATGTGTATCTTTGGAAGCAGAATTGAAGCCTACGTGGCTGTCATCATTTCTAGCAAGAGAAGAGATGTAAAATTTCCAGAAATATTGAAGCCATATAAAACGGCCGGGGGGCGGAAGAAAAATTGGGGAAAACACAGTTTTATTTTCCATTTTTCCCCAAAATGTGGCCTCACAATTTCTGGAAATTTTACATCTCTAAGCAAGACAGCTAACTCCAGTACTGTATAGCTTAATATATTGGGATATTGGGCAGGCATTAATTGGATGTGGTGGAGAAACCAGTGGGATTTTTGAGGACCTCCTTCCCTTAAAAGTATGTTTCAAATATTTGTGGTCACAGTCTATTACAGAGCTTTAAAGTTGGCAAAGAATCCCTTTCCTTAGCAGTTAGTTAGGTTATACCAGGAATTGCTAGGCTTTCTGGTCGCCCATTAAATATACTTTCTCTATTCATTCATCAGGTATGAGAGCCATATAGTCTCCATCCACAAGAAATGTTGTGGCAGATTTGCAGAAATACAAAAAAATTAGTTAAGGGGAAAAAGCAGCTGAATAAAGCCAGACCATCAATTAAGGACACAGCATGAGGTACCATGTTTCCCCCAAAATAAGACAGGGTCTTATATTAATTTTTGCTCCGAAAAATGCATTAGAACTTATTTTCAGGGGATGCTTTATTTTATTAATGTACAACAATCTACCTTTATTCAAATACAGTCATGTCATCTTTTTCTGGTCGCTGCACAATGGTGGAGGGCAGGGTTTCACTTAACTGGGGCTTATTTTGGGGGCAGGGCTTATATTACGAGCATCCTTAGAATCATACTAGGGCTTATTTTCAGGGAAAGGGTATTAGAATGAAATAAAGCAGCAGCAGGAGGAGAGCAAATGGAACACAATCCTGGTAAAGAGTGTGACTAGCTGACATCCTAAATCAGAGCCCTCTGCACAGCAATGTTTTGTGGCAGGCCCCACTTACAGACTGCCTACAACATCTCAGGTAAACACTTATGGGAAGTAATCCTGAATTCCTAATTTAGTGTTTGCCAAACCTCTTATACATCTCCCACCTTTATTAAACTCTGTTGTATTCTACTTAAATATGGTTGATTAAAGTGGAGGCAAGATTAATTTAGATTAATCTGGTTTTGTTCCAATTACACTTAAATATTTGCAGTATAAACCAATCTAGCCTTCTCTGCTGTGCCAAAAGGCAGTGTTTAGAACAGGAGAAACTGTTCACTACCAAACTGGCAAATGGAACATGGAATAAATAAGCAATGCATACTTCTATAGTCTGACTATAATAAGCTTAGGTTCATTTGTGCACTGTAGAAATGTGAATGTTATCTCAAACCACTTCTGTCTGTTTGGGGATCTATAGTGCAGGCTTATAATACCTGTACTGTGATCAGGAGTGTTGAGCCTGTTGTATTTACTATTTGATTTGATTATTTATTAGATTTTTATCCCGCCTGGAATTAATTACATTACTGTGTACATCCTCAACCCCATGGAACCTGGGGCTTTTGGGGGGAGGGTTCTTTGTTTTGTTGGGTTTTGCTTTGATGTTGTGATGTGTGAAGCAGATCTTCCTCTTCTCAACCACCAGGCAGTCAGTCCTTTGCACTGGTGTAACAAACAGTGAGATTTTTTACAGCCTCCTCAGCCTCTAGATCAATGGCCAAATCACCAAACAGCCAAAAAAATTTTTTTAAAAATCAGTAGACTGTGGCCTTAAAAGTGTTTTCTAAATTATAAATAACATCATTTACATTTTGATGACTCGCTACTAAGTGCTCTTCAATCAGCCAGTCAGTTAAAAAAAACCCTCTTCAAAGGTCAGTGGAAATCCATGATTTACTTAGATGTGTAGTCTCATCCCATGATAATCACAGTCATGTCCTTTGTGGATAATTCCTTCCATTGATTTTTCCTCCTCTGAATAAGTACTTTTTTCTTCTGTATATTTCTAAGCCATTTCATTTGCAGTACCTTTCCAGTTTTCCTCTTATGTTTCATATTACAGTGGTCAATATACAACAATATACTTTGTACATTGTACCCAATGCCAGTAGAATTGGAATTCCTTCTTCTTTCCTTTCATGCTGCAACCCTGCAAAGTGCAGAAAAACTTATTTCAGAGAAGATTTTTAGAATGTAGAAAGGTTGTAGGAGGGAGAAGTACACCATTTGATTTCATTTAATGGTCCTCCTACAGTGATTTTAGCAAATATATGGTTACAATATATGTGCAATTCTCTCTCTCCCTCACCCTCCATTCCTGGTAAAGTGTTGTGGGATTCTTTTTAGTTGTATGATATAACAAAAGTGAATTAATTAACACAACTGCTACCTTCAAAATGATGGGTTAGTAACACTTTATAGTATTTCTGATTACTATATATACATGTAAAAGTTGGACAAAAAACATTGAACATAGTCTTGGAAGCAACTTGACGGCACATAACATACAATAGGTGAGATCAGAATTTAGGTATATTTCAACATTTTTGAGTCCTCAGTTCCATATGCTGCATCTTTCCTATAATCAGAAAAATGTCATTGTTGCTGCTGCTCTTAAAAAGATTTTTTAGAACAAGTAGTAGAATTGTTCATAATCCAGCATTCAGCAGAATGAACAGTACAGCTTACATTTGGAGCATAAAAATGTAAGAAGATCCCTGCTGGATCAGGCCAAGGGCCCATCTAATCCCGCTTCCTGTATCTCACAGTGGCTCTACCAGATGCCTCTGGGAGCACATGAGACAACTGGATACCTGTCTTCTGATACTCCTCCCCTGCAGAACTGGCTTGCCCCAGTTGGAAAACCCATTTAAGTCTAGAATCTAAAACAACCTAACTACACTGCTGACACAGGAACTGAAATCCTATAGTGTAACTTATGCCTGCAGAAGGGTGATTATGTCACTGATAGGGGTCAGTTTTTGCCAACTGAAAATTTCTACTTTTGTCCCATGGCTTTTTTACTCCCTTTCATCATGTAGAAGCTACAAGAGCCATGGGAAGGAAGGAAGAAGTCTTCAACAAAAATTGTTGCTGCAGGATGACCATATGAGTTGGGGGGGGGGGAATTCTGGTTAATAAAGATCCTTTTCTTCTGATGTGCAGTTCCTGTGGTTTCCATGTGATGAAAGGGATTACAGGGGGAGGGCTGTCACAGAAACCATGGGACAGAAGTAGAATTTCTTTGTTAAAAATTGCCCCCTGCTGGCGATGTCATCACTCTTCTGCAGGGCACAAGATAGACAATGGGATTTCAGTCATTTTAAGTACTCGTGTTTGTGTTCGTGTTAGGTATCCTTCATAATTCATCATGTCTTCCTTGTAAATAAAATCCTAAACTCTAGCACCCAACTTTATCATTATTTACATTTGGTTAATACTGGATAAATTGTGACACTTTATATTTATCAAAACCATTTAAGAGTCCAATTTTCATTCTGAAAGTAACTGGGGAGAGTTTCCTGTTGAAAGGGGGGTTATGTAAAAATGCTTAATTATGTTTTGTTGCTGCTTATAAATTGCAGAATAGCCTTTCCTGAAGGAAGTTATACAAATTCAGCACCATCTGCTGTCCAAACTTTGCAACTGTATTTTCCCACATTTCATGCTGCCAATTAATTTGTTTACTTATTACCAGAACAATCTTAGACATGTTTTCTTAGGACTGCTGCGTTTCTTGCTTCCTTATCTGTATTTTATATCTTACTTTTAAGACACATTAAGAAAACTCACCCAGAGCAGCTTCTGTAAAGTAGAATAAAATATCTACAAAACAGTAAAACATGAATGATTTTTAAAAAATATTAAGTGTGGCACAGATTAGTTCCAATATGTATTTATTTATTTGATTTATATACTGCACAATTAGTGCAAACCACTACTCTGGGACATTTACACCAATTGTAAAAACATACAGTCCTAAATAATAATTTAACAAAAGTAAAAACAAACAGCACCAAGAACAACATATTACTAACCCAATAAAACACTTAGTAGCAAATGGGTATTTTATTCTCATATATGAGTGCTAATGGTATACTTAATAGTTCAGTAGTAGTACATATATTACCAGCATCAGCCATCCTGACGATTCATGTAGTGCAGGTCAGTGTTAGTATATAATTATTTCAGATGGAGGACTGAAGCTAAGAAATGGTGCCTTTCTTAATAAAAGGTTACCTGGTGAATTTATGGCCATGGCAAGCTTGAACTGTTGGATAGCTCAGTGGTTAAGGCATCTGGCTGCAGAGCCAGAAGTTAGGAATTTGATTTTGCACTGTACCTCCCCGACAGGACTTGGACTTGATAATCCATAGGGTTCCTTCCATCTCCGCAGCTCTTAAGATTATTAACTGCTGCTTTCCTGACTGACAGTTCACCATGTGAGCTGCCCCACCAGTTCCTGCATCAGTCATGTTGCATGCTGCTGTTTCAAACTGTGGCTTTCTCTGCTTGTGTGCTTCCAATTACATGTTGCTCTAGGTAGAAAAGGAGAAAATTCTGAAACCTATTTGCTAACAATCCTCTTGTGATTGATGTCATTGTAGAACAGAAGAATCCATGTCAGAAGATGACAAGAGGAGGTATGTTGCAATGACTCGGATTGAACTAGGCCTTCAAAAACAAATTGCCATTTTGGGAGGAAAGAACATAGGAAAAGATAGGGTCTGGGTTACGGTATAATCTCAGAGCAGTTGTAAACAAATTGCCATTTTGGGAGGAAAGAACGTAGGAAAAGATAGGGTCTGGGTTATAATCTCAGAGCAGTTGCCAATCTTGATCTGCACAATCAGCCATTTTAACTAGAGATGGGCTATTTGTATTCATATACAAATACCCCCACACAGCTGGACATAACGAGTGGCTAGTCGACCGGGAGCTCCGGAGTGATTGGAAGGCATAGCAGAGCCAGTGGCAGCAGCAGAGGCATGAATGGATGGTCTAGGCCCAGGGGGCCAGACCCTCGTTACATCCAGCTGTGCTGGGGTATTCGTATTTGTATACGAATACCCCCATCTCGATCTCTTTTCAGCTGTGCTGGGGTATTCGTATTTGTATACGAATAGCCCCATCTCAATCTCTTTCGTGCCAGTATGCTTTTGTTATTTCAACCTAATTTATTTTAACATTTTTTATAGGAATCGGACATAATACTGAAGCGGCTTAAAATATATTATTATGACACATTTACATTACTGTAAAAGAGGACAAAATTGTGCATAAAATATATATGCTAATTTATATGATAGATGCAAATGTACTGTTAAAAGGTGCAACAAAGTACACGGTCATGAAGTACAGCTAACATCACTTAAATCAATGAACGCTTTGGTGGTAATTTAGAATCTGAGGGATATATCTGTGATGATTAAACAACGAACATTAGTGGAAGCTGGATTTTGAAAGAGGACAGTGTAATATATGTAGAATTCTGTTTCTCTACCTTGATACTATCACATAGGCATGTGATTTTCAGAATTTATGGAGCACAAGCCCCCAGAGTTCTACACTAATTCCCCTAACTGAGGGCTTTAATCTAGAAATGTAAATCCTGACAGATGTGTTTAAGTTCTTAAGCTAATGAATTCAGACTGTAGCAGCCATTTTTGTCCTGTGGAAAAGATAGAGGAAATGGGTGGGAGTTGCAGTGGATTATAGGTGTGGTAGTCTCTGTTCATTTGGCTCTGCAATAGGAATTCTCTTTTAAAAAATGCCAGATCTACATGAACTTGGACTTGAAGCATGTTGTCAGCTAGTGCAGTTATTTCAATTATTTCGCAACTGGTATCATAGAGGATCTGGAAAGTATTTGTGCTATTGGTGTAGTTCCTGCTTATTGCACTCCTTGCAGCGTTTCTTTGAGGGCCACTGTACATAAAGTATATTGCAGCAGTCTAACTGGAAGCTTACCAGTGCATAATAAAAAAAAACCAGCCAGAACGGATTAATTGATTTTCAGTCCATTCCTATGGGAAATTTTGCTTCAACTTAAGAACGTTTCAACTTAAGAACACCATTCCAAAACGGATTAAGTTCTTAAGTAGAGGTTCCACTGTAGTTTCTATGGACGGAAAAGAGCAGATAAAGATTAAATGGTTTTCAATGCATTCCTATGGGAAATGCAGATTCAACATAAGAACTTTTCAACTTGAGAACCACCTTCCAATACGGATTAAGTTCTTAAGTAGAGACCCCACTGTGCATAAAGTATATTGCAGCAGTCGTAACTGGAAGCTTACCAGTGCATGAGCTACTAGAGCCAGACTGTCCCTATCCAGGAGCAGTTTCAAATGGTGGACCAGCCAAAGATGGCTTCAGACTTTGCGGACACTCATAGCTTTGGCTCTGCCTGCTTTTGCAAGGGGAAAGCAATGTATGGCATGCAGCTCCTGGAAGATCAGCCAGAAATCCAGCTGTCAGTTTAAACCTGCCCTGCCTTCGCATCTTAGAGGGTTATTGTAAGACCTACAAGTAAACATTTCATGCTAAATGCTATCAGCTTGTAAAAGCCTTAAACTAAAATTAGTTTAGGTTAATGCTACTGTTAATGTTAGATATAGCTTTGCAACAGGCCTTCACCTCCATGTCACTGGATTTACCCCACCCACCCCTTTTCCATGAAGGAACTATGGGGGTGTTTACGTTGGTCTACCAGTTGATGCAACGGCCAAGATTTCCAGCCAGACCGGAACGGCGCCTAAAGGTATATAAGCAGAACATTTTTACCTTTTAAACTGATGTGATTTGATGGCTCCAGTGTTCTAGTATCTCTTATTTATAGTCAGTCATTTTATAGTTACACAAAATAGCAAAACACAGTTTTCTCAGTTTCGTCTTCCTGGTGGTTTGTTATATTACATATATATAATATTTCAACATTAAATCAATGCTCTCTGGATCTTTTAGTCCTGTCCTATAATTCTAGGTCAAAGTTATAGGTTTTGTATTCAGGCTTTGTTTTATTTCTCTCTGTTTGTGGCCAATCTTCAAAAAACTGCTCAATTAATTTCATTAATTTATTATCATTATCTAAAGAGAATTTTACTCTATACCGCTTTATAGTAAGATGATGATGATACTACTACTAATAATAATAATTGTAATTGTGATTGTAATAATAAAGTAATACTTTTCACTTTCTTAAGAAAACAAAGATATGACAGTGCAATAAATAAGTATATGTTAACACTTCTTGGTACAATGGTAATTCTAAAATGTACTACGGTAGCTGTAGGAAATTAGAATCAGGCACAAACCTATTCTGTGGGCAGAGAGGCTCTTCCTGGCTGGCAGAGATCTATCAGCACCGCAGTCTGCTGCCAGAAAAGCTACCTACAGTGGGGTCTTGACTTAAGAACGGCTCGAGTTAAGAACATTTTGACTTAAGAACCACTCTCATAGGAAAATATTGACTTGACTTACATACAATAAGTATATGTTAACACTTCTTGGTACAATGGTAATTCTAAAATGTACCAGCTGTAGGAAATTAGAATCAGGCACAAACCTATTCTGTGGGCAGAGAGGCTCTTCTTGGCTGGCAGAGATCTATCAGCACAGCAGTCTGCTGCCAGAAAAGCTACCTAGTAGGTGGAGTGAAGCAGGAGCTGAACTACATGAGATCCAGACTTCCTCCAGTCCAGGGACACGGCTGCAATGGTGGCAAGGCCAAGGTCGTTTCCAAAAACCCTAGGATAGGAGAGTTTGGATTCAACACAACTTCAGCTGGTCTAGTATCTATACAGCTGGCTCTTGGCCAGGTAGGATTTATTTATTTGTTTACATTTTTATCTTGCCCAATTACGGTAGTAGTGAAGCTACTACTCTAGGTGGCAAACACAGCAAAGCATAACAACAATAGAAAACAATAACAAACCTTATAAAAGAAAAATCTTAAATTCCAGAACCATGGTGAACACAAATGTATGGGAACTATGATTAAAAACAAAATGAAACCATATGCTGCAAAGAATTCATGACAGGATGGCCAAGAGGGGAACGTGACATTACTTTGGGGCAAACTAGAGAAAGTATTGGGAGAACAGCCAGGTCTCACGTTGCCTCCTGAAACCCAGGAGGGATGGGGCTAGCTGCACCTCTAGTGGAAGGGAATTACAGATTGCGGCAGCCACCACAGGGAAGGGCTGATTGTGGGTGGATGACATCCGGGCCTCCCCTGGGGTTGCAAATTGGGGCAACCCCATATAAGAGGTGGGAGGGATAGATGGATGTTTTGAGGGAGAGGTGCTCAGGCAGGTAACAAGGTCCAAAACCTTTAAGGGTTTCAAAAGTTAACATAAAAAGCCAGGGCAGACAGGCCAGGACAGAAGTTATATGGTCATATTGGGATGTTCCAGAGACCAACCTGGCAGCAGTGTTCTTCACCAACTGCTGCTTCTGAACTGCCTTCAAGGACAGCTCCACGTAGAGAGAGGTGCAGTGATCTATTTTTGAGATTACAAGCACATGAACCAACATTGTGAGGGATTTCCTGTCAAGATAGGGGCGGACGTGTGCAATCCACCTCAGCTGGTAAAAGGTGGACTTGGCCACAGCTAAGATCTGATATTCCACTGAGAGAGCTGGGTCCAGCAGCACACCAAGATTCGTACCTGATCGCTCAGGGGGTGTGTGACCCTGTCAAGACCAGGCAGATGGCCAGTGAGTCAATCAGGAGTCCCTTCCAACAACAGGACCTCTGTCTTGTCAGGATTCAATTTCAACCTGTTAGCCCTTGTCCAATCCTTAACCCTGGCCAGGTAACACTCCAGAATCTGCACAGCTTCTGCTGCTGAGGAGGAAGAGGAGAGATAAAGTTGTGTGTCATCAGTATACTCAAAAACTCTGGATGATCTCTCCTAGCGGTTTCATATAGACATTGAACAGCATGGGGGAGATGATTGACCCCTGTTGGACACTACATTGCAGGATCTAAGGACGGCATCGAAATGTCTTCCCCCAGCCGAACACTTTGTTACTGGTCCCCAAAGAAGGAACAGAGCCAGCTCTGTGCTGGACTTCCAATCTCTAACCCCGAGAGCTAGTCCCAGAGGATACCATAGTCAACAGTATCAAAGGTCTCTGAGAGGTCCAGGAGAACCAACAGGGTCACACTCCCACTGTCAGTCTCCTAGAGAAGATCATTGAGCAGCGTGAGCAAAGCTGTTTCAGTCCCATGGCGTGGCCTAAATCCCAGCTGAAATGGAACTAGATTGGTGTCATCCAAGAACATCTGCAGTTGTCCAGCTGCCAGCCTTTCAATCGGTTTGCCCCTGAAGGGAATATTGGCGATGGGACGATAGTTGTTAAGGTTGTCCAGTAACAGTCTCCTTTTTCAGAATGGGCCTGACCACCGTCTCCTTCAGACAGAGGGGAAGGTACCCCTCCTGCAAGAAGGGATTGATGATCTGGGAGGCCCATTCTATAGTCTCCTCTCTGGAAACTTTTAAAAGCCAAGAGGGGCATGGGTCCGATCAAGAGGTGGTAGGCTTAGGGCGTGCAAGTGCTTTGTCAATGCCATCAAGTATCACAGAGTGAAATTGATCCAATAAAACGACCAGATGGAAAGCAAGACATCTCACTCTGACTTACTAATAGATTCCAGGTTCCTGCGGATGACCTTGACCTTCAATTGAAAATAGGCTGTGAACCGGTCACATGTTGCAGCATCCTGTTCAGGCCCTAGATGTTGCCTGGTACGGGTGAGGTCACAGAACATTCTACTGTATAGAGTTCCAGTTGTTGATTAGTGGCCTCACTGATGTATCTCACATTATATGCTTTCTTAGTAGCCTTGATGGCATTACAGTACTGTAGTGACCAGAGATGTGTCTAACCACAGCCCTATTATGATCCAAGGGAGTTTTCCTCCAGATGCTTTCTAGCCTTCTCCAAGCTTGTTTCAAGGCTCATGACTCCCTGGTGAACCACAGGGAGGGGTGAGCCCTTAAAAGGAGAGGGTGTTTAGGAGCAGCAGAGTCGATGGGTTGCTGCCAGATTCCATTCAAAGACCAGGGTTTGGACACCCACGCCAACCAGCTCATCCGGAAACCCACCCAAGGCATCTTGGAATCCAATAAGATTGTGTTCTTAGTCCCAAGAATTTGCCCTGGTGACACACCCAGAGATTTCATTGCCACTTGAAGGGGAACGTTTCCTTTCTTCTAATTTTGGTTTGTCCAAGTATCACTCCAAAGGTAATCAATTGGAAAATCATAAGGCCACATCTACTGATAATTCATATCTAGGCATGCTGAGCTGCTCACAGCTTCTCAGGACCTTTGTGTCCAGTTCATATAGGTAAGATTACACAGGAGACAGGTGGCATTCCTCTAAGATGGCAAAACTAGTTTTTAGGGTAGAATGTACTTTTAGAGGAAAAGAGGTGTGCAGGTGTGGGAAGGTGAACCTGCAGTGGTTGCACAGTAGTTCAAGGCTTTGTATCAGCATCAGAGATTTTACAGTACAGGGAACAACAGGATTGTGTGTATAAACTACTCTTTTTTAAATTTAAAATTCTATCAGATTAATTCTTCTGTATATAATTCCTCACTTTTTTAGATTAAAAGACCACGGACACGCTGGATGATTTAAGCCATTAGAGGTATGCTATAATTCAATAACTGTTTAAAGCATATATATTTCCTCTTGTAATTGCTACACTCATGTGCTTTTTATGTCACCGTCTTGACCTTTTGAGCTTGATTTGTTAGAAGTCAGTGAGATGACTTTCTTTAATTTGTATTTGACTACATTTTACATACCAACAGGAACAGAAGAGAGGGCTGTCAAGGTTTCCCATAGCATAGAATCATAAAAGAATGGAGTTGGAAGGGGCCTATAAGGCCATCGAGTCCAATCCCCTGCTCAGTTCAGAAATCCAAGTCAAAGTATATCTGACAGATGGCTGACTTTTTCTTGGAATGCCTCCAGTGTTGGAGTGTTCACCATCCCCTGAGATAATTGGTTCCATTGTGATACTGTCTTAATAGTTGGGAAGTTTTCCCTGATATTCTACCCAAATCTGGCTTCTTGTTAACTTGAGTCAATTATTGTATATCCTGCACTCTGGTATGACAATCTTTCAAGTATCTGAAAAGTGCGGTCATGTGGGACACCCAAAATGGCCGCCACAACATGGGGAAACATCGGAGAACAGTGAGTTTTGGGCCCATTTGGAACGCATCCCACTTAACGATGTTTCCCCATAGCGAAGGTTAATCCGGAACGGATTAACCTCGCTATGCGGGGCACCACTGTATCTGAAAAGTGCAGTCATGTCTCACTCTTCTTTTCTCAAGTCTAAACCTGCCCAGTTCTGAGCTTGCTGGCTGAAGAGTGTAATAGAAATGCAAAAAAATACATTTTATATAAGTAACCAATGTGGGACTGTATCATTTTATGATTATTGCTGTAATCATGTAGAGCTAAATTCACTTGTTAATCTGAGCTAGAATGGAATCAGCTGAACTTGAGTATTTGTTGATTTTGACAAATCTCATTTATCCAATGGGTTTACTCTCCTTGAGACTAACCATTTTACTTGAGCGGCTGGTTCTTTTTAAATCACAGTGAAAAACAGATACCTCTGTCAAAGTAACTCACCTTTTGACAAATATGGCAAGGTATTTATTACCCATGCACTATTTCTTGTTTCTTTCAACCAGTTTTCTGCACAGATTACTCATTACAATGAAATGGAGTGGTGCCTTTCCGCAGGCAATTTACTATAGCGGTAAAGTCTAAGACACGAAAAAGGATCATGGCTGTGAAAGTAACAACTACAGGTCGAGCTGAATGCTCAGAATGGAACTAAAGTGTAGGATCGGACTTTATGGGACCTTTTGATGTCATCTACTAAAAGCATTGGTTAGCAGATGTTTGATGGATGTTTCTGCACAAGGGTTGACATTTTCAGTCATGGACACTTTTGGCCATACTACAAGTTTTATGAAGGACGAACAAAGCTGTTTTTCCTCCAGCTATTTTTGAGAGCTTTTTCTATGAGGAGACCATTACTACTGTTCACTCAAGTGTTCCTAGACCGAGGTTAGTGAAAATTATTGATTTATTCTAGAGTAATATATTTGAATAATATATTGAGACAGCTGTTGTAGTTATTTGGGCAGAAGCCCCACAAAGCGTTGTATCAGAACCTTTTGATTAGGCTCTGAGGAAATGGACTTGTCCCCAAAAGCTCATATTAAAATATAGTGGTTAGTCTTTAAGGTGCTACAATGTTTTTCTCTTCTTATTTTTTCTTTGTCTTTTGTTTTTATTTGACACTCTAGTAGTTATCACTTATTTT